AAGGATTGACTAGCCTTCGTTCGTGCAATCATATAGTCTGCAAATAACTATTATCTTATGAATCTTAATTTTTTTTCTAATCACTTCCGGTGGCAGAATTTTTACTCCAAAAGCTCGTGCGTAGGCTCCCATTAAATGCTGATTATCTCAAAAACAAGCTCGGGACACCCTATTTTTCTTTCCAGATTTGGAATCAGCATTAAATTTCAATTCGGAAAATCGAAGTTTTAAGAAAAGCTTAAATCAATTTCCAAAAGTAGGCAGTCACCTTAAGCCATGCAAGATTATCTGTAGATGGCAAGAACAATATTATAGATTATATATGTCGTGGTGCAATGTTTTTCAATTACAGACCATGTATTATTCCCAGGATCACTTATTATAGAGAATAGGATCCATTGGCATCAAAACCCCTTACATCACGAAAGCAAGCAACCTGCTTCTTTGACAAGTCACTGTAGTTTAGTACATGTTATTTACTCCATAACATTAAGCAAATTTTAAGACTATTTTATGTGTACCTTTTTTAGAGTAATGGGTGCTCTCAATTGTCTTCGATACATACTGCTTAGTGACCATGATGACAAGGTAATTTAACTGTTTTCCCATAATTTTCAGACCATGTGTGATTCCCTAGTATATTATTTCTTTGTTTAACGGTATACAACTCAAACAAAGAATCTTATTTTAAGATGAATGACACAAGGTATGAAATGGGCCAAACATTACTACTAAGTGAACTTGGTCCATTTCTGACAATGTGTCATTGGTTCATTACTGACTGCTTCATTGGTTTGAGTTTCATCCCTTTGTCATGCGTGAATAGACAAAAGAATATCCATGGATACAAATGAAACAAACTAAGAATCTTATTATCTAGCAAAGGACTATATAGAGAGGGTCTAATGTAGAGAATGGCTACAAAGGTAGCCATTTGTATTATAAAATATAGAAAATATACTAACAGTAAATTTACATTAGAGTATTTGATTATGAAAAATAACTATCAGTTGTTGGTATCTTATAGACGACATTGTGGAAGAACTACTCTCTGTTTGAAAAAGAATTTCTACTGCCTTTGAGAGAAGCTGTCAAAGTCACAAAATTAAATTATCTTTCCATGCAGAACAAAAACACAGAAGAAAAGAAACAACCAGGTAGGTATTGGTGATCATTCAAAAGCAAAATATTATTTTTAGAAATTTGCAGCTTTTAATTATTATTAGCTGGAATGCTAGAGGAAATATAGCTGTTAGCTACACAGAATATTAGAAGTAAAGTGGCTTAGCAGTGAGCACTCACCTCCTACTAATGTCACCCTGGTTTTTTCACTGATATTCACTAAGTACTATGTTACTGGCCCTATTACCTATAGACCCCTTGCACTGAGTCCTGAGAGGAAATCGGTCATGGGGGTGGGGTGGGGGGACGACGACCCATCTTATGCAAAAAATATCCATTGCTTTGTCCCCCAGAACAAATCCTCTCGGGACGCAGTGCAAGGGGTCTATTGAATAGGTGTATACCCATACCTAATAGGGAATAATTATCTTAAAAAGCCAATTTCACAACAAGCAATTGAAATGTCTGAGTTGATCAGAATGTCGAAAATTGCACTAATGACAAATGATACAATGTCAACAGTTCTAGATGATAAAATTTTACTGTAGTGTGTCATTATTCAAACAATTTGCTTAGCAAAGTATTTAATATTTGATTTAGTAGATAAAGAGAAAGAAGAGATAGAATTCAAAGTGACCACACCTGATGGCACACCGATAGATGAAATGTCAAGAGAAGATCAAAACCAGGTGATACCACATGCAAAAGCCTATGTTCGATTTTTTATTTTGACGTGTAATTTAATGTTTTGTTTTAGTACAGAGTTATTCTATAATATTGCTTGGTATACACCAAATCGAAATATGGTGACCAATTTGAATAACTATTGTTCTGCACTGACAAGCAACGGACTAGCCATGGTTCAACTGTAAACATAAAGCCTTTTCATATGTATGACAAGCTTAAGTCAGTCGCTAGTCAGTGCAGAACAATAGTTATTGAAAATAGTCACCATATTTCGATTCGGTGTATAAATCTTTTTTTCATCATTCTTTTATTATCATTTCTTCTTATTTTTAGTTTCTTTTCTTAGGTTTTGCAGTCAGGCCTGTATGCCTTAGAGACGATGGAATGCATCCTTGCACACATCACAGAAATTGTAAATTCAAAAACTAGATAACATCTTAAAATTTTAATAATAAATTATTATATTAATTTATAGCTAGAGTTTTGTAAACATGACTTATACTAATTTGTCTTTCTGAAGCCGAATGAAAGACTCTGGTAAATAAACTCATGGAGCTTATGACAAATAGACCTTTCTCAAATTTTGTCAATACATGTAGTGCTGTGTTCATTGATTACAGACTCATTTGCTCAGGTTTAGCCTCAAATCAGTGCAGTCTAAATATTCATAAATACCAACGGTAAAGATGGCCATAAGTATCTTTTGGCCATAAGTATCTTGGCCAAGTGTCTGCTGCCCAATTTGAGTGCTTTCATGAGCAGACAACTATTTTTTCAACAAAACCATTGAATCCCTTGGAACCAATGAAAAATAATTATACAGTCAAATTTCAAAAAAAAAAAAAAAGGGTGAAGTTATACTTGCATGTAAGCAACCCATGCAAGTTGCAGCATGCAACATGCAGGAAAACCTTCAACATCCTTCTTTTAAAAAATAACTATAATTTAATATATACACTGTTTAATAATGTTTATGTAGAACAATTGTCTGACCTATACTTTTCCCTTGAATTTATGAAATTTGTTATAATCATTGTTGAGGGAATGAAAGAGTTCCCGAGATCCTTTGTCCAGCACAGCATGTAAAAGAGCCATTTCATGTTCACCACACATGTCCAGGAGGCAGTAAACACCAGGTACCAGTGCTTGCTGGAAAATAGCAAAAACACATTAAGCCAATATTAAATAGTATCGCGACCCTCCTATAAGTTTGATTGAGAGAGAGCCACCAATATAGACCCGTATTGTCGGCTCAAAATTACTGTGCGTGATTGGCTCATGAGATTTGATTGACGGCGAAAACAGCACTTTTTGGTATCTCAGTCTGGTTTGTGAATGCAACGGTTCACATTGGAATCTCAACATCGATGGCAGAAAATTTATTTTTTACATGTTTTATGATCCTTTTTTTACTACTTTGATCTTCATAACTTATTTCCTGACTTGTAATACACAAGGATAAGAACATGATATGCTGTGTCCTACGCTTTCTGCTACAGGTGAGTGAAAAACAATGCCAAATATTTGTTTTCATTCAAACTAAACTTTTGAAGAAAACTCGACTTTTAATAGTTATTTCATGACAAAAATAGTTGTAAAATCATATAAATTCTCTTATTAACTATTTGTTTTACAAAGTAGAGTTATGAAGTTAATTCTAGTGTTAAAAGTACAATCAAAACAGGTAAAACTTACGAAAAATCTTTTTTGCGAAAACTTCAAAAATGTGCTTGGCAATTTTCCAGAAACCGTTGCTAGGGTCACCACTGTTAGGTAGTGAGAATTTCAAACGAATCAGGCTTTTTTATCGCTTTTTTCTTCATTTTAAGATTTAAGAATAGGAGGATCGCGATACAAAACTTATTGCGATTTTGAGCCGACAATACGGGTTTATATTGGCGGCGTTGGGAGAAAATATATTCCGTATTGGCCGTAGTTGCTTCGGAATATATTTTCTCCCAACTAGCCGCCAATATAAACCTGTATTGTCGCCTCAAAATCGCAATAAGTTATAATTATATTTATTTTAATTCTATTGATTAACAATTTAATCTTCAAGCATGAAACCAGGCTAGGTATATGGATGGTAAAACAAAGCTTAAACCAAATGAAAAAGGTTTAGTTATTAGCTGACAGCTCTTTAATTTTAACACTTTATACACTTTTTAACACTTTCAGAACACTTTTCTCCACATTGGCCTTTCAAGTACTCACCTTGACATGTGCTTGAAGAGAGACTTGCTGTATTTGTTGGATGTAATCTGTAATCATGTATGGTGCATACTAAAACATGAAACAAATGAAAACTCAATTATTATAATACTAAAGGTCCATTTATTTTTCCTTTTTTGGGGAGTTGAGACCATTGCCAGGGTCATAAAAGAATAAAATGGCCACACAAAAAATGACATCACAAATTTTTTCTTGTGAATAGAGGTTTTGCACCATAATGTGCCAGCACCATAATCCAGCTTGGACTGCCTGTGGTTAGATGGCAGAAAAAATGAAATCCCTGTGCTCTCGGGAATTGAATTATTTCTCATGTAAAATGATCGTATTGTTCCTGCCATCTAACATGGCTACTGTCATGTGAGAGTGCAAAACCTCTATAGACCTAGAGTAGGGCACACATTTTACATCTATGATGGGGGAAGGGGGGG